GATAACATACACATTGAAAGATGCTATTTTTAAGAGTGTTAATCCTCATTGGATACTCTAAGAATGTGTCCTTTTGTTATCGTCATTGTTGTAACCTTAGGAAGGTTACTGAATAGAATAATGAAACGATAATAATTGTTAATAAGCGATAATACTTAGGATAAGAGCAACACATATAAGATTCGCCAGTGGCGCGTAGAAGAAGTAGTCAACTGCTAGAAGTGAATTCCATAATGAATTTCCAACTGCAGAATTTAATGTGAGGTATCCGAGCCCGTAGGCTCGGTCAAAGATTTCCCCGTAGACCCCGTATAAAACGGAGTCGGGTAGCTGTTTCCCGAGACGAGACTCTGTCCTTCGACATAGCCTCGTCCGGGGATCTTCTCTGCCCGGAAGCAGAGAGTTTGACCAGCACAGCTGGAGACGAATCTCCAACTGCGGACTAACATACAGTGTTTACTACTGTATTTATGTGAATAAGGACATACCCATTATCGTCCGTAAATATGCTACAATAGTCGTTTATATTCTCTAGCCTTTTCTTCTACTATGCTACGTATAATTAATGTCAGTATTTAAAAGGTATATGAACAATCAGACAGTGAACAGAAAGAATAGCTTACTATTACTTATTTTCAGACATTATCCAAGCATGGTAAATGTGCTTACACACGATCAAAATAATACAAGTTCCGATTAAAATGCTCTACACAAGCAAATGGTCTCTGATGACAATTTCACTAGTGCAAACGCCTTTATAGGAAATTTCGCCTAATCGGGTAGTCAGTAAGGATTGAACTCATTCCTGGTTAAATTATTAGTCATCACTCTACAACAAAGGCCCTGGATATTTAGAAGTATGAAACTTAGAAATAAGGCTTGGAAAATTTGCTACTCACAGGACAGATTGCAGGCAAGATGGAACGAGGAAAACGGACGCAATTTCGACGGATTTCACCAAAATTGATAGCATGAACCAATTTAGCGGGAAGGCAAAAAGACCGACTTTTATTGAGAACTACCCATCGATAGTGGAAATAATCGATTTTTCACTACAGGTACGGCACTTTTCATGTAGTTTGTAGAGTGAGAGCGAATATATCTGTGTAAGAATATTCATATATGTCTTCTGTGTGTGTGTGTGTGTGTGTGTGTGTGTGTGTGTGTGTGAATGTTGTGTGTGTGTGCTACCATGCAAAACGAATCGATAGCTGCATTCGTCAATTTTAGGAAAAATTTAAATCTGCATGGCACTTTACTCCAATTGGCATTCAGAAGGCTTAAACTCAACGTTGATTCTGATTCCGCAGAACCCATCGATAGTGAAAAAAATCGATTTTTTTCACATACTTTTACATTCGGTTTTTCAGTTACGAGTCCTTTTTTAAAGCTGATCGTTTTGTGTTCATTTTGTTTAGTTCTTTTTTCGTAACAGATTTAATGCTTAGTATAGAGCTTAGAAAAGCAGTGTGAGATAGGCAATGTTAAGGCAGCATGCAACATGCAAAAACAATCGATAGCTCCTTTAAAGTCAGGAGGGGTTAAAAATTTTAAGTCTGATAGTGATTGCTGTATGAGTCCAATTTTTTGAATCAAGCACGAGCAACTCAACGTTCGAATATAAAAAATGGAACAAAAATTTAGATCCGAAAGAAGAAAAAGAATTTTTACTATTTAAATATATATATTGTTCGGATGAGCTTTTCGCTATGTTGCCTAGAGTCATTGAATTTAAGCGCAGTACTAGATTGGCGTCGAGGTCTCATTAATTTCCAGTTGAGCTGGCTAGATGTAACCGTTAAATTCTATGCTAACAATTTCTTTTCTTACATTTCTTGCTTCTGGAACTCCCTTCCGGTTCCATGCTTTCCAGCCAACATTAATCTGCAAAAATTTAAATGCAATGTCAATCGCTAAAAATATTTCCTCAAATGATTACTCTTCTTTGTTCTTGTTCTTTAACAATTTTTGTTTCTAACTCTTCCACACCCAGTCGTCCTTTGTGTCTCAGTGGTTTCGAATATACTTGGGGCAAAATCGATTATATATATATATATAAATATATATATATATATATATATATATATATATATATATATTAGGATGAGCTTTTTTGCTATGGTGCCTGAAAGTATGGGCCATTTAAGCGCAGTATTAGATTGGTGGCAAGGTCTCATCATTTTACTGCTGAAACGGCTAGATGTAACCGTAAGTTCTATGTTAACAGTTTCTTCTTTACCACTTCTCGCTTGAAGAACTCTCTCCGGGCTTCTTGCTTTCCAGTCAACTTAGATCTTCAAAAATTTAAATGCAATGTAAATCGTTACCTTATGTTTTCTTAATTCGTTCTTTTATTCTCCTATCTCCTTAATGTTTGAAGTCAGCAATGTTAGAAATAGCCATTATTTGATTGGTTAGCCAATCAGAGGATGCCTAGTTTCAGGTTTTGGGAGAAAGAAAATTTAATTTTACCGGAATTGAGTTTGGCGCAGCAGAGAGAAAATATCTAAAAAAAATATTGGTCTACAACACCATCCGATCGCTGGAGATTGAAGCGGTAGCCGAGGCATAGCGCACATTATCCTGGAGATACGACATTTTGGTTGTACTTCACAATTTGAATGCCGGTTATAAAACTGTAATAAATCTATTATTTGTATATAGAAATGTTTTGTGCAGTATTCTTCCTGCTACCACGACATGACTAGTCAAGTTGCCAGAAAAATTCCGCAAAACCTAAACTCGAAGAATCACGCCCAAAACAACTATAATCAGCACTATCAACAACTATGATTTATATGATTGGCATCTCCCGCGTGATTCAATATTTGTCGCCGCGACCCGTATTTGATCCCGTTTTATCAATGTCCGAGATGGACTTTACTTCACCTCTGTTTATATCTTCAAGGATAAGTTTATATTATCACAATATATTCCAATATGTTTTACACTATTGAACTTATTTGTTATACAGCATTTCGACGGACGGCATACAATTATAGAGTTTCTCACAATAAAAATTTACACACTACCTCCACTGTGAATACAGAACATAGAATTTTCTTGACATCTTCGGTTTGTTGAAAAAGTACGGCTTGCAAAAATGTAAAAAAAAAAAAAAAACATTCTAAGAAAAAAACTCGCTCTTAAATTATGCCTTGAGACTACTTGCTATCATGAATAATATTTTGATAGCAATACAACTGTACAGGTTTCATGAATAACTATACCAGCGAATGCTGTTGCTGCTTTTCAAGACATGTTATACAATAATGTTATATTTCTTTTGCTATTTTCGAAAACGAGGCAGATGTATATCATTGGTTTTAAATAATTTCTCAGATTTTATTATGCAAGTCAACGTTTTCACAATAAAAAATAAAATTAACCAATATATGTTAAATTTTTTAAGGTATATTCCCATTTTATATGAGCGATATGTCGTTAAAGTTTTAAGTTTATGATATTTTATATTAAAAATATTGATAATAATTTATATTGGAGACCTCAAATTTATGATTTTACATGTTAATATCGTCTCTTTGACATTCTAATACCTAAATAAATATTATACTTGATTTTTATTTTATTTTTCTACAGTTTTGTCTTTAACGCGCAGCAGTTTATTGTTTTCCAGAAATCTTCTTTGCTTAAATAGTTTTATCAATTCACATATGAATCATTTTAAATGATAGACCAGGGTTTTTTAAGGTCAATATCCGGAAAGGTTCATGAAAATTTCATTAATTTGTTGACTTTTTAACAAGGTGAATAATAATCAGCTTTGCAAAATATTAAAATTCAAAGCTTGACAAGACTTAGATTAGTTACAAAATCGAGCATATTTTAAGCATAAATTGACGCACAGAATTTGAACGTAACTTTATGGTTAAAGTAATTTTAACGTTAAGCAATAATAACGTAATCTTAAACAATAATAAGGTAACTTTAACGTGAAACAATACTAACGTAACTGTAGCGTTAAGCAATAATAACGTAACTTTAACGTTAAGGAATAATAACATAGCTTTAACGTTAAACAATAATAACGTAACCTTAAAGTAAAACATTAATAAAGTTACTTTAACGTTAACCAATAACAACGAAATTTTTACGTTAAATAATAATAACGAAACTTTAATGTTAAATATTAATAACGAATCTTTAACGTTAAACAATGATAATGTGACTTTAACGTTAAGTAATAACAACGTATCTTTAACGTTAAACAATAATAACGTGACTTTAAAGTTAAGCAATAATAACGTGATTTTAACGTTAAACGATAACAATGTAACTTTAACATTAAACAATAAAAACGTAACCTTAAAGTTAAACATTAATAAAGTTACTTTAACGTTAAACAATAATAATATATCTTTATAATTAAACAATAAAAACGTAACCTTAAAGTTAAACATTAATAAAGTTACTTTAACGTTAAACAATAATAACATAACTTTATAATTAAACAATAAAAACGTAACCTTAGAGTTAAACATTAATAAAGTTACTTTAACGTTAAACAATAATAACATAACTTTATAATTAAACAATAAAAACGTAACCTTAGAGTTAAGCAATAACAAAAAAATATATATATATATATATATATATATATATATATATATATATATATATATATATATATATATATATACAATATATATATATATATAGGATAAAAAAAACATTACATATATATATAAAAGTGGAAACTGATATATGTTAAGAAATGGACGAGGTCCGACAATTTATTTATATAAATATATATATTTTTATTTATATATATGTATATTAACGTTGTTATTTTATAGATACAAGTATTTAAGCAAATGCCACGAGTGCTGTTTTTTTGTTGTTGTTGTTTTAAACAGTATTAAATAACATTTACCGGCTATTTTGAATGTCCGAGAAATCGTTTATTTGTTTATTTATTTAAAATTATTCGTTCATTTATTTTTAGACAGGATTCGAACTTATCTTATATATTTATGCATTTTATTTTTTACGGTGTTTTATTAACGTAGTCATTTGTTTATACGCTTATTTAATAGTTTTGTTTAGGTTTGGGACCAATAAGATTAAATTTCGATAATAAAAAAAAATCCATATTTTGAAGAAAAAAAATTACCAGAAATTTTAAAAAAAAATTACTAATACCCAATAAGCAAATTTCGATAATAAAACAATGGGTTCTTAAAACATACCTTACAAACGCAACAAATTTCTTCATTACTTACAATAGATTTAAAGTAAAAGCTCACAGTGAATGCCAAAATGAACACAAAAGACTCAGAATTCCAAATTCTGTCATGTTAAAAGAGCGTATGTAGATTGCAGGAGAAATCAGAAAAATACCATAGGAATAAGGATACCGTATTATAATATTATTTTTTTTAATGATAACGACCGAATCTTGACTAAAGAGGTAACAATTAGTGTTCCACACGAAAATCAGTTCCAAGTGCTTGGAAAAATGTAATTAGTGTGGAACTTCCTTCTTACACATGGAACACGGGGGAAATGAGGGTGATTTCACTCCGTGGAAGTAGCGAGTCATGTCTTGCAGTAAACGTCTGAACTGACAGAACTAATGGGCATTTGTCCTGGAAACGGTGATAAAGTGGCGATAGTCTTGCTACGTTGTGTCTGTCAAGAAGAGGTTACAAAGTTGAAAATATGCCATCTCCCATACGACCACGTAAATAATTTTTTTTTAACTCTGCCAGAAGTTTAAAAGTGAGGATTGATCAGCTTCAACATAAATATGACAGCCACACTCCATTTTGGGTATGGCCTGACTCTTGTAAGTATTAAACATGGCAGAATGTGTCTGCTACTTCTTTGGAGCGATATAGTGAGCCGACCATTTTTGGAACTTCTTTAGCAGTGGATTGTACGTATACGTTGTATTTGAGGTCAGAAGTGAACTTGGAAACCAGTAGGCATTCAAAGCACATAGTGTGCAACTACATACCCTTGGGAACGACCACAAAAATATACAAAAGCGTTTGATAAAATATGTCACAAAAAACTGTTGGAGGTGATAGATAACAATGACATATTTGGGGGTGATATTACAATAATCCAGATCCTATACTGGCAGAAAATCTCCCACGTACGGATTTCTATCGGTAAATATAAAAAATATAAATGGTTGTGTCTTCTCACCGGACTTATTCAACCTATGAAGAATAAGATATCGTACCAGGAATCTTTATTGGCGGCCACAATCTTAACAATATAAGATATGCAGATGACACAGGGCTGGCAGCAGATACAGAAAGGGTTCTCCAAGAACGACAGAAGGCAGCGAAAGAAAACGTGAAGAAAGTTCTAAACATCAAATGCAAGAAGACACAATGCATGGCTGTTACCAATAAGAACAGCCCAAAATGCAAATTACAAATTGGACATTCCAAAATCAACCAAGTAGAAAAATTTAAATATCAGGGAAGTGTTTTAACAGAGGACAGAAAGTGTGACAATGAAATCTGAAATCGTATTAGGATAGCAAAAGATGCCTTCCAAAAGCTAAGAAAAATATTAATAAACGGAAAAATTTCTTTAGAAATTAATAAAAGAGTACTGAAATGTTACTTAATATCTGTCCTTCTATGTGGCAGTGAATGCTAAACAATCTCCTTACAGATTAAGACGAGATAGGAAAGCAACAGAGATTTGGTTCTACGGAAGGATGCTGTGAATATCATGAACCGAATATGCTGTCAACAAAGTTTTAGAGAAATGGAGACAAAAAGAATATTCGTACTCAACATCAGAAAGAGACAGTTGAAATTTCTATGACCATAATGAGAAAAGAAGGCTTTGAAAATTTGATACTCACGGGACAGATTGGAGGAAAGAGGAACAAAAGGAACAGAATCCATAACCTAGTGAGCCTGGGTAAATGAATGGAGGAACATGGTTTAGGAGAGATAGAAAAAAGACAAAATTTATTAAGCGCTGCAAAGGTGCGGAAATCGTGGTGAGCCATGATCGTCAACATCCTGAAGAAGGAGAAGTGTTGAACTGTTCATCGTAATCGAAGAAGACGCGGGGTCTGATTAACAGCCATGAAATGATACAAGCATGGTTTTTGAGGCATTGAAAGTAACAAGCCAATTATTTCCCCATTGATCTGTTAGGGTTTCTGTCAGAAGAGAAATCGGTTGCAAGGCGAGGATCATCTTTGGTTTTGGAAGTACGTCCACGAACAGCGATAGCATCTGCATAGATGTTCACTAGTGATCTGAGAATTCTCCTAAGCAGATCATTAATAAAGAACAGAAAGACTGTATGACTTATGTTGTAACCTAGGGAAGGTTACTGAATAGAAACGAAACTTGGTAATGAGCAATAATACGTCGGACAAGAACCGCACATGTAAGATTCGCTAGCGGCGCGTAGAAGTAGTCAATTGCTAGAAGTGAGTCAAGTGAATTCCACAATGAAACTCCAACTGCAGGATATCTACTAACTGCCCCATGCGGTCAGATATGGCACAAGGCCGAATTTAATGCGGGGTATCCGAGCCCGTAGGCTCGGCCAAAATTTCCCCGTAGACCCTGTATAAAACGGGGTCGGGTAGCTGTTTCCCGAGATGAGATTGTGCCCTTCGACATAGCCTCGTCTGGGGATCCTCTCTCCTCGGAGGCAGAGAGTTTGACCAGCACAGATGGAGACGAATCTCCAACTGCAGGATATCTACCAACCGCCCCACGCGATCAGATATTGCATAAGGCCGACTTTAATGTGGGGTATCCGAGCACGGAGGCTCAGCTAAAAATTTTCCTGTAGACACCGTATAAAACGGGGTCGGATAGCTGTTTCCCGAGACGAGACTGCTCTCCGACATAGCCTCGTCTGGGGTTCCTATATGCCCGGAGGTAAAGTCTTTGACCAGCACAGCTGAAAACGAATCTCCAACTGCAGACCAACATACAGTATTTACTACTGTATTTATGTGAATGGGGACATGCCCATTATCCTCCGTCGGTATGCTTCAACAATTTAGTAGATAACATTAGAGGACGCCTGTGGTAATCTCATGAACCTCGGAAGACTGACCATTCAAAACAACATCCGGGGTATGATGATAAACTACAAGGCCTCTGGTCAGGAGGCTTTGAGAAGCGTGCAACCACTTCTTAATTGCTATTGTTCCAAGGTCCACCTTGAGCTGGGGTGGTGGCACCTGTTAGTGTCCCAACTATGGGTAAATAGTTAACCTCTAAACTGGAGTCAAAACACTATGAAAGTGTAAAAATAGGTTTTAATACCAGAAATACATTTTTGAAGTAAATGAATATTAGCAGCAATACATTTTTGAAAATAAATATTACCAGCAATACATTTTGGAAAAAAAAACATTACCAGCTGATATGTTCCGGAAAGGGATATATTTGTTCGAAGTAGCAAAGTGGTTTTGGACTACTGTAACCGAGTAGGACAAACTAGCAGGTAACCGTAATGGACTGGTCCTCGTCGTAGTGGTAGGCAATAGGCGTAGGCAATAGTCGAAGACTATAGGCGTCGTCCTGTACCTCAACATCAGTCTGTATTTATGGCTGACACCAGCCAACCATATTACTGTGAGGGAGAACCCAGGTGTATGCATATTCATTACATCACCAGCAATACATTTTTTTTTAAATTTTACCAGTAATAAAAAACTTGTCGACATTAAATAACCCATTGAGGTTGATATGCCGTAAAACAAACCAAACCAAAGCAATCATTCGTAACAACCTTCAATGGTTTATTTTTATGCATAATATCCTACAGCCTGATTATTTGTTTGACTTACGGCCATATCACGTTGAAACACCGGTTCTCGTATGATCACCGAAGTTAAGAAACGTCGAGCCCGGTCAATACCTAGATGAGTGACCGCTTGGAAATACCAGGTGCTGTAAGCTTGGATGTGCTGTTGGTTTAATGGATAAGGGCTCGGAATTGGAAATAGCAGAGTTGGCCTCACTGACGAGCAAATACCCTTTGGAAAAGTATGAATCTACCCCTTCTTCCCCCCACCGGCTATGGGTTAATAAGTAGAACTCGTTTCATTAAATCATTATTATCTCCAAAAAAGATTCTTACAATCTAAAAATATTTTCTGGCTTTAAATAACCTGCAAAAGGTTGATAAGTCGTAAAAATCAAATCAATCAAATGTTTACTAGTTTAGGGATTGACAAGAGAAAATGAATATTTCCCTCAGTAATTCTTAACTAGAATTAGTAGAGCTGATTGACTAAACTAACATTAAACAAAAAAAATACCCTGAAGAGACAAGAAACATGATGTGGGTGTAACAACATATATATATATATATATATATATATATATATATATATACAAACGTGAGACAGCAGGGTCTATAAGAAATTTGCCATGTAACTTGTCGCACCCTGGGAAAAATAATCCAGGAGATATGCTGAAGAAAGAAAGAAACATCGCTTACTTTAACGTCACGGTGTTTCACAAGTTATAGTCATATAAAGGAAGCCATTATCTCTCGTGCTGTTAGGAATAAGGAAGAGACATCCGTCTCGTTGGTCGGCCACACGGGAACTGAGCCGCCTGGCTTTATTTTCAAAACAGTGTGCGGTTCTCGCGTGACACTTTATACGTAAAGGCAGATCCTTATTTTTGCATCACGACACTAGACAAATATGTTACACACTGTAATGAAACGATGACTATAAATAATAAAATAATTTTTTTTTTTTAATTAAATAAAGTTTGGAGTGAGATATAAAATTTAAATCTATGCTCGGACAATGAATTTTTTTAATTTCCTACACTTTGTTGTAACAGTATGCAAGCATTTATAATAGTTCCTAAGTTCAAATTCTTGTAGAGTAAATCAGTCACGACTGGGAATTTAGATGTAATTTTCATTAGAAACAAATACAGTGAGTCCCCGTATTCGCGGGGGTAGGGAGTAGAACTTGCCACAAGTAGTTAGAATCCACGAATACTTGTAAACCCCCTAAAAGTACCTATTTTCATTGTTAAAACATCATATGCCTTAAACTTTCAACCTAAGCACTTTAAAAATATTTCAGAACCTTTTTAAAACATTTTTGAAAAATAATATTGGTTACTATACACTTAAATTTTCTTTCATACGTACAATAACCGTTTTTAATTACGCATAGATCGATACAACCATTGAAAATACTGAATAAAATATGTCTAACAAGACATAAAATATAAAGTTTAAAATATTTTCTAAAAACTGAACTGTGGTGATGCCCCCAGACTTAGCATAAGCCAGTTTTTAAAACCCCAGTCGCAGCCCTTAACAAAGAACAAAGCCCAAGCAATATGCATGTTTTTGCGTTTGTTTGTTTTTTTTACAATGAAGATGTACAATTCTACCAATTTTTACTATAAAAATGTTATTTGTTTTAAGTCACTTAAATAACAGGAAAATAATACAAGAATATTTTAAATACGTTCTATCAATCTAGGGAGTTCTCAACGAATAATTTGTATATATCTTCTTCAGAAAAACACGCGAATATTCGGGGTTTCCGCAAATAACAAGTATATATGTTGTACAAAAAATCCGCGAATGTGTGAAGCCTCGAATGCTGAAACGCGAATAAACGGGAGCTCACTGTAACATGGTTGGCAGATTATGGGTTAGATTATTAGAACGAATGCATGAAAAAAATGCAACGCCCTAATGCAAGGCAAAAATGTCACGAGGTTATGACGTGGATTACTGGGAGTAAAAGAGTGGTGAGGATGGAAGGACAGGTTTCAGGAAAACACAAGATGGCGATTGGCGTTAAATTTAAAATTTTGAAGATTGTATAAGAAGGAAGCAAGAAACCGGAAGTTAATTTCACAGGCTTTGATGTGCGAGAAGAGCAACTATTTGAACAAAACGTACGGTTGCATCTAACTAGTTACTCATCTAGTAGCACGCTTAAATTTATATAGTCGAGGCACCAAGGAGGAAAGCTAATCAGAACTATTGCCATCAAAATATATTTAAAAATGACAGAGAGAAGAGTAGTAGTAGTAGTAGTATTAGTAGCAGTAGTAGTAGTAGTAGTAGTAGTAGTAGTATTAAGAGAGCAGCGTGTCAACAAAATGACGCTGGCGTACAATACACTCATTATGAAAACCAGTATAATAACTATATGTAATATATATGACATTTGAACTAGTTTATCTACAACACTTGTATATCGTTATAATGGGGCCTCGCATCAGTGAGGAGGGGTGTGCAACTGAAACCGTTGAGAGTAAGGCCCCGAAACGGTGCACATTCTCTCCTGATGACCCCAGTTTAAATATAAATTCGAGAGGAACACATCAAAATTCAGTGAAGTCATATGCCGTAGAGAAGCTCGGTGGAAGTGTCATTGGTATGAGGAGCATTACACATTCAGCTTGCTTCAGGTGAGTTTCAATTACTTTCCAGTAATTTCTTTCTACATGCCCCACAGTCAAATGTGCCAGGCATAATGACAAATTTATTAAAAATAGTACAAACCTTTGCAGATGGAACCCAATTAAAAATAACTTTAGGTTGCGTAACTCAGTCCGCTGAGACAGTCTTCGGCTGAGGGTGTTACCAATTATCTATATATGGCTATCAAGTTTCTTTGACGGAAACATCGATCAAACTACTTTCGCTCATGAACAGAGATGCACAGTGTATCAGCCCCTATGGAACGTGCCCAAATAGCTAAAGAAAGAGTAAAGACAGAGAAAGAGGAGACAGAAATACAGAGCAATGAAGACAAGTAAAGAAAGTTGGTTCACTGATTGGAGATTCTGATGACATCGTGAGAAGGAAACAGCTTGATAAACTATGGATAAAAGGAGACAGAATATCTGAGAAGAGAAGGTTAAAACTGTATAACACCTTGGTGAAACCACTTTTAACCTACAACTATGGAACTTGGAGCCTTACAAAGAAAGAAGAGCAGGAGCTAGACAATTTTGATAGACAACTGCGAAGTCTGAGAGGGAAAAGTACTCTCATAATATCTTCAACAAGAACTTGTACAGCAGATGTCAAGAATCTCATTCATCTTTGTTCATTTTGAAAGCAAGATGGAAACTTCTTGGACATATTTTGCGAATGGATCCAGAATACCCAGCTAAGAAAGGCACGGTGTTTTACTTTGAAAAGACAGACTTCAAAAAGTTCAAAAAGTTCAGAGGTCATTCAAGAACCACCATAGTCACAACGCTGAACCGAGACATTGAAAGAACAAAGCAGGAAGTTCCACTTTTACTTTGGAGATGTTTACAATCAATGAAGATCGGCAACGAATCCGCAAACTCGCAGAGGACAGAGAAGGCAGGCAAAATTTTGTCGAATCAGCATACATTGTCATTGGAGATGAGAGAACATGTTAAAACATGGTCTCAAATCGAAACAGTTTTGATGACGATGATGGTGATGATGAAAGCAAAAATCAAACAAATCTAGATTTGTGTAAAAGAAATGTAAACAATAAAAATAACAATGCAATTATACCAAAAAATACCAATTACATAATATTCTGATCAATAACACAATGATAACAATGCTGGCAAAGGCAGTAGCAATGACAATAATAACATTAACCCATCAGTGACTTTTGAATGGTATAACTTAATAATATGTCTTTAAAATTAAAATACCATTAATTTAAAATATAATTTGCGGTAATGAGTAAATTTATATATATATATATATATATATATATATATATATATATATATATATATATATATATATGCATCAAATACATTTTAAGAATTATAAATGTTTTTATTATAGTTTTTTTTTTTTTTAATAAATAAATTATGATATATAGTCAGATAGATTTAAATTAAAATCAGTTGGATATTTACGCTGAGTAATGTTTACATTGAAGTATATATTCCTAAAAATGAAATAAAACAAAATAAATGCAAAAATAAATTAAAACAATATCAAAAAAGAAAATAATTAAGTACATAAAATTTATATATATATATATATATATATATATATATATATATATATATATATATATATATATATATATATGTAAACGTATTATATTGGGCAGCATATTTTTTTTATGTTGTAAAGAGGTAATCATACAATGAATCAGTTATCAATATTAATGTAATTAATGACGAATTCTCTGCGCTAACAGACTTGATATAAGCATTAACTTACTAACAATCCACTGAATGATGCGATCCTTATGTATAAAATTATATATATATATACAGATAGATAGATAGATAGATAGATAGATAGATAGATAGATAGATAGATAGATAGATAGATTTACGTTAAAATTCATTACGGAAAAAAATTTACGCTGAAATATTTACATTAAATCCGTTATGAATTTTACGGAGCCACGACAAACATATCATAACCTATCTCCTCGGATTCTTCTTCTTCCTTATTATTATTATTATTATTATTATTATTATTATTATTATTATTATTATTATAAGTGTAGGGTGGCGTAAAGTTCGAAACATGCAAACCGAATTCGAATTCCTGAAATGGTAGTTTTAGCACAGTCGAATACTCCTGTGAAATACATGAATCCCCTTTTTCTTCTTATACACTATTCCATCCCTAATTATCTCTTCACTGTCCTTTTAAGGTGATTGAGGGAAAAAAGTTGAGTGACAAATCCTTTCTCGTTTTTCCAAGCAGTTACATCAAAATTTATTACCCTTGTCAAATTTTAGAGTCTTCAATTTTTGTTTTTCATCTCATTAATGTTCCTCTAACTTCTTCTAACCTCTGACATTTATGTAAATGGAATTTTTTTCTTTATTTTTAAGAGATGAAAAATGATGCAAATGTCACAGAAAAAGACTAAGAGTCCGTTTGCAGTCGATTATGATAAACAGACTAAGGCTAATTATTAATTCAAGACAGACTACTTA